CCAACTCCGATGCTCCAGTAGATTCTGAATGTTTCTGTTTAGAAAATTCAAAATACTGTTCTCTTGCAACAGCCAGGTATTTTTTGTGATAGAGACATTTCTTAATACATTGTATGTGACCTTTATGCTAACAGTGACTCACCAATGTATTCTGTTTGGTTTTGTGACCTAGCAAAGTGTTCTAGGAAAATATTATAGAAATGTATCGGGTATGTGGGACGGACTTACAAGACAGTTTATAGAATTTTGCACTAATAAAGTTACATGTAGCAACCAACAGTAATGTGTTTGTCTTTTATTTTCCATCAATGTTTCTTACAATACAACGTTTCTTATCGTACATGATGCAATATTAGAATCTGTTGCATTGGTATCATAAGTGTAGTAGACACAAATGGGTCCTGATTTGGATTTTGACTTCGACAAGAACTTTATTGTGTGTGGGGGGCGGAGGTAACCTTCACAGTTTCAAAAAAAAGTTGCATGGTCGTGAAACAGAACAACGCCGTCGCTAAGCTTTCCTCGTCTTCTTTTGTTTTGAATCGCGCTACGCAGTTTTTAAAGGGTTTTGCAGTACACATCAGAGTTGATTAACATCCCATTTCCCCCCAAATTCTACTAAAAGAACTCCTTGCCTGTCCCAAAACACTGTACACATGGCTTTTTCCCCCCGTCGCAGCCTGCGTAGAGCGATTCAAAACACAAGACGCGGAATGCTTAGTGACGGCGTTGTTCTGCTTCACGACAATGCAACTCCTCCCAAGTCTGCACAGACCCAAAACCTGATCGCCTCCTTCGGATGGGAACAGTTGAAGCACCCATCCCATGGTATAGCCCAGACCTGGCTCTGAGTGACTTTCATCTGTTCCTGCATTTGAAAAAGTTTTTGGCCGGGCAGGACTTCGACTCAGACGCTGATCTCACAGGAGAGACTGGACATTGGCTGACATCGCAGGCGGCAGCTTTCTACGATGAATTCAGAAGCTCGTCCCATGCTACGACAAATGCCTCAACACTTCTGGTGACTTCATGGAGAAGTAGTCATATTTATGAGGTATTAAAAAAAAATTGTTTTGTTTGGGAAAATTATTTCTTTTATAATTATTTTAAAACGGTACTTACTTTCTGGACGTCCCTCGTATTAATACTTTGAAAAATTGTATGGGTTTAACACATGCCCTTTACAACACTACGGTTATTTAAAAGGTGAAACCTCCAAATTTAACGTCCATCTCCTAGTTCGGTTTTAGTAGAGGTTTTACTGCGCTCGCAACTGCATAAGGTCATATGAGCGCCTAGGGGTGGATGTCAACAGAGAAGTCCTTAAAGGGAATCAGACTTACTCTGCTCACCTCTCTAGCTTCAACAGCACAAAGTCTGCTTTGACTATCAAGGCACCCTGGAAATGGCGGGTCACAAAAGTGTGACAAACATACAAAAGAAGTAGAGGAGCAATGACGATAGTCAGGATTAGAAAAGAAAAAGCAGCAGTTCCCTGTTGCAGTTCAGGCAGTTATGAGCATGATATTGATGAATCAGCCCATTTACAATAACAATTCTACTGTGCATAAGAACTCGAAAAGTTAATGTCCCCCTCTTTGGGAATGGCCTAAAGACACTTCAGTCAGTAGCACCGCCATCTCCGAAAGTATTGAGCCAGGCAGGAAAATTAGTGTAAAATACCTTTCCAAGGACACAACATCGGACTGAGCTAAACTTTGAACCTCTGAACCCACAATCTTAAGACGACAAGTCCGGTAGCCTATCCACTTGACTACAGATGCCACTATAAGTATGTGTTGATTCTGTCAGATATATATGGTCGCTTTTAAGCACAAGGGGGCTATCCTAATAAATGCTGTTTTGAGAAAATTGAAGTTAAAGTTTTTGGATCCTTATTCAGTTTCATTAAATGAGGAGATTTTTTCTCAATAACCAAACAAATATACACACCAATGAAACCAAACTTCTCCTATAGGTAGGGCAATGCCCACTTTTGGTGCAAGTCAAGATTTCTGGAAACCCCCGAAATCTGGGTTAGCCCCCTTGTCCTTAAAAGCGACCATATATCATGTACAGTCAAACCCCATTATATCGCCAACTTTGAGACAAGCATCAATTAAGTTGACAGCATAGTCTGACTGGTGGTATAACAGGGTTTTAATACTGTCCTCTGTGAAATTATAGCATGGACTGCCCAACAACAAGGGGAGTGATTCTGGCATGATTAGATGAAGGACAATATTATAATAAGTTATTTCCTTTAGTTTAGAGTTTGATGGAATGACCTTCAGGCTTCTTGCATGTGATAATTAATGTTCAGTGGAGATGGAATCTTAAATAATGCTATTCAAAATTCTTCTATGGGCATCTGTGGTGTAGTGTTAGGCACTTCGTTGTCACATGCAGAAGGCCCAAGTTTGATTCCTGTGTGAGTAGAATTTTTATTGAGTTTCTTTATCTTTCTGCTGGGAAGTTGTATCCATCTCAGTCCCGGTTAGCCCTGATAGGCAAGGTCAACTCAAAACCCACCTCCTAAATGATCTAAATTGTGTTGGTGGGGGCGTAAAAGCATCTACTTACATTTAAACAAGAACAAAATTTGGTAACAATGTCTTACTGTCTCCGTGAACCTTTTATCTACAATACAACACACTGGAAACATCAGAAATGAACATGTATACATGTTTAATCATATTTGAAGCATAGTTCAGCAAAAGAAAATGTAGTAAAAATTCACACAATTTTGTTTAAAATTCTGAAAGTAAATATATTACATCTTTCATGGTTATGACCAGAGCAATGATGTATTAGGACAAAATCAAATAAAAATGAGGGGCATTTTCAATGAACCGGGTCACCATTTTCACACTGATCCAACCTCTGTTGATGCAGTGGTATCCACCTCATTCATATAGTAGTAGAATAAGACAAGTTAGGTCCTTTGTTACATTTTGTTTAATCGGTTCTCAGCATTCTCTTGTATCACAATTACATATACTTTTTGGTCCCATGTTCCCTGTTGTGATGCACAAAATAAGATTTAATATTTTTGAACATGTCTTAACACTTTGCTTCCTGTGCTATATTCCTAAGAATGTACTTGTGGGAGATATGAGTCACAGATAGGAAGCAAAGGGTTAAAGAAAGGGCCAAAAAGGTCAAAGTGAATACAGATATCGTAATAACACTTTCACAATTTTTTCGCCAACTTCAAATCATACCCAAGACAAAAACATTCTGCCTGAAACTTCATCAGTTACACAAATCTTCGAGCAAGAGTAACCACCCTTTCTTGTTAAACTAGAAAAATAACTATCGAGTTGTGGTATTGAATTGCATAAAGTAGGCGGCTGTGGGAGGGTTTGTGTACACTTCTTTATCCAAGAATTCTTTGTGTGACTTCTGCTCCAGAGCAAGGCGTCTGTTCTCATCAGCCTGGGCCTTCTCGATGTCCCGGCGTTTACGCTCCAACTCGCGTTCCACCATCAAGGCTGCCCTGGCATGTGCTGATGCCTGGCGCTCATGCTCGCGGTCTCTCAGCTCCTCTTCCTGTTTCAGACGCTGGAAGACAAAACATTGACAGTCTGAATCATATGTTGAATATTATAAAATGTTAAAAATTTAATGCTACTTCTCAGCACAGTATGGCCATTTGTGGGGAGACGTAGCTTTCAATTCCCAGTGTGAGGTCCGAGTTGAGGCTGAAATTTCTAATTTTTTATTTCTTTTCGTCTTCAGGTGCATATAATTCGTCCTGAACATAAATTGAACCTGATCCTGAACCCACAAAAGAGTAGAAGAGTGGTTAAAATGGGTTTGAACAGACTAAGGGTCTTCAATTTTCTGAACACTGGCACATTTCCATTGATGACACATTTAGCACTGGTATTTGTACTAAGACAACCCAAGCAAGACAAACACAACACACGCTTTTTCAATTCTTAAAAAGTTACATTTCAAGGGACTGGATTACGATAATTGAGATTTCTCAAAATTTAAGATTTCAATCTCTTTGAAACTTTGTATATTTGTCTGGAAGTGTTTGGTACTCCTATTTTCAGAGGATTTGTCTGCAGCGCAACAATTTGTGCGTGTGAAATATTTTAAAACAAAAGTTCCTTTAAATGAAACATGTTTATTCTCAGCTATAATTTCTGCCACTCATGTACCTGCCAAAACTTTACTATTGAAAATCCCTTTAAAAACTTAAGTTATGTTGTTACTAATATTCATAATGTTTTTTAATGGCATTGTACAAAAGGCAAGTGAGTAATTTGATGTAAACTGTAAACAAGACTACATCATTTGTTTTTGCAGGCCTGAGACCCCATTCTGACCCTGTGTAGGAACTAAATGGGATTGAAGGGTCAAGAAATCCATTTGAATATCTTACTTAACTCTTTTTATAACAAGAAAACCATCCAAAACTGTATTTCAGCAGTACATAAAAAACTTTGATGTCTCAGTAGTGTCTCCCGTTAAGCTCCAACAGGACTGCGATCCCTTCAGTAATACACAATTTAACTCTTTTTCTCCGAGGGGGGTAAATCCACTAGGCCGGGGCCTTGTTTTGGTACGAAATCTAAAATTGACATTTAAACGTTGGTCATTAAATCAAAACAAGTGAACCTATTTCAATAGTTCTTCATTTAATGAATGAACTCCCGGTAAAAGAGACCTGATTTTGGATTGCCAAAAAGTAATTTGAGAGGTCATCGTAAAGGAATGCGCCTGAACTATTGCCAGCAGCTCACGGGCACAGCGGTTCCCACCGTGAGTCGCTGGGAGTGGCTTGTCAGAAATAAGTTTGAGGAGTTAATGAAAAAACAAAATAACGATAAACCAAGAACTAAAAGTACATCTTAAGCATGAATAGGGCCTCTACAATAAAGAATTTAAGAGTAACATGGTATTGAGGAAGAATATTCAATTTTCTGATCACAGTTCTCAAAGGCATGATATGGCCCCAGACAGAAATGGGTTCAATCTATACACAAAATGTTGCCACTTTAACAACTCCTTTTTCTGAAGCTGTGATCCAAACCATAAGAACACAAAGACTTATGATGAAGTGAAGAGATATGATCGGTGTTACACTTGAACTATATTTTGTTTTATCAAGTATTAACTACAGGATGTGAAATGAAAACATGGAGCTCGCAACGGATTTAATCAGAGGTTCCCCCCCTCCCCCTGAAAAATCTTCTACTAGTGAAAGGGTGTCAAACCAGTAGGCATCATCCTACAAAGAAAAAGTTTTTGCAACAAATTTATAATGCAACTGAAATACAAGTTTTTTTCTTTTACATAAAAACTTTGTACAAAATTCCCTCTGTGAATTACTAGTCTGTCACTTGAGAATGAGAGCAGTCAAGCCATGCTCTATCATGCTAACACCTTAACAAGATGTTTTCAGCATGAGTAATATCTGGTTAGCAAGAAGAAACTTACCTCATTCTCTGCTCTCTGCCTCTCTTGTTGCTTTCTAATGTCCTCTAGCTGTTGAGGGGACATGCCCTTCCATCTGTCGGTGATGACCCTGTGTGGGCCAAAGGCACTCTGGGCAACAGCAGGGTTCTCGGTGAGCACATCGCCAAACACGTGGTTGGCAATTTCTGTCATCTTATCATCCAGGTCTTGCTGCTGCTTCAGACGGTCTCGCTCCATCTGCTCTTTGTTCTATATCAAATAATACATAGATTGTAAGTACATGACTATTGAAAACGTTCCAGTCTCGGTTTAAGTATTATTGAGAAAAGAGGATGATTAGACTTAATATTGGTGCAGTTTGATTACTGTAACAACATACATGCAGAAAAAGAGACATTCTAGCTAACAGTAGAGGGAATAAACTCTCAGAGCTCAAAACACCATGTAAAATCTTGATGGTTCAGCAGTAATGCTAAACAAGAGTAAGGAAGACGGCCTTGATAGCTATATAATCAGAGGAGTATGCACATAGCAAACACGAACATAGTGAAACATGTGCATAGCGAAAAGATTTTTACGTCCTGAATTTTTTTTTGTACATGTGTTTTCTTTGTATTTAAAATAAATACAGCGCGAAATTTGTATATAATGAAAAAATTTCCTCGTCTTGCCAATTTTGCTATGTGCCTGCTAGACTGTATATATCAATGACATTGAGATACAATATTACGATCTATCATTTGAGTTCTTTCAGAATTCATAAGTCAGAACTTTATATTCGCTAGCCTCTTTGAGTTCACTTGCAGCTTTACCATTTTTTTGTTGTGAACAAAAAAAAAATTCTCTTTAAAGCCATGGACAATTCTTAAAAAGAAAAGTCTACCATGTCACCAATGAGGAAATAAGATTTCTCAGCAGCTCTGAAATAGACTGAAACAAAATGCAGGTAAACAACCAGTACATACCAAGGCATCATTGTAAGCTGAAGTAGCCATGTTGATTGCCTTCCTGCAGTTCTCCTCTGCCTCCTGTAACTCCATCGCCCTTTGATCCAACTCCTTCTGCTTCAGTTCATACAGGCGATCCGCAGCGTCCTGATTGCGTTTGGCTTGCGCCTTTTCACGCATCTGGGACTCATGCCACTTCCGGGCTTGTTCATTCTGGAACTTTTTACGAGCCTTTGAGGAGGAACAAAAGTAAAATAATTATCAAACCTATGAGGGTGTTCTGAATGACAACAAAGTATAAAACTTACAGTACAGGAAATCTTTCATTTGGAACAGCTATAGTGACTACAGAAACAGTAAGATAACAAGTCTAAATACACCAAGAAAAAAATATGGTACTTTTACACTATTTCCTCAGGAAGTCTAAAATTTTCATTTTGAAATGCTGCACCTAGTAAGTATCATTCACAGCAGTGCCAGTACAAGTACAGAGTCTCAGGTCTTACTACTCATGTTTTTTAAAATAGAAGTGTCTCAGGAATAAATGAGAAAATGTGACAGATACAGAAATTCAAAACTTTAAAGCTATTATCTTTTCTCACATCAAGCAGCTCATTTAAGAAGGGAGCAGTTTGCCAAAAACTTGTGCTATCAAAACCACAGAAAAACTACTGAAAAAAGAAAAAAAAGTCCAAAATGTCTCTACCGCTTACCTTACTATTCAAGTCTTCCCCATCAAACTTTTGCAGACTTGAAATACCACAACGAGGGTCATCGTCGTGGACTCTAGCAGGCTTGTCTTTCTTCAGACCATCAGGGTCGTACAAGTCCCACTCTCTTCTGGAGGATGGCTGCTGGTGCAATGCCCTGAACTCATTCAAAGCCTCATTCAGTGCACGGACATCATGTTCCTGACGTGTTTCAAGCATGCTTGCAATTTTATCATTCCGTAGAGCATCAGCAGCTGAAAAGGTAAAAAGCAGAAGAAATTGTGATGGAAATTTTCCCCATTCACCAGTTTTTATAGAAGAGATGAACATACAATTTTAACAATATAATCAGTGCAATTTTTGCCTTACAGGTGTTTAAGACCAAGTTTAAAAAAATTGTGTTACTTGCTCAAGTTTAAAGGCATGCCTTCTTGTGAACCTTAATTCTTTCATTACAAAAATCAGCAACTGGAGATGGAATGCATGCATGGGAATTGCTCAACCTAATCTTTGATCATCTATACTTGATGAAAACATTCAATTGTCCACAATGCATTGTATGTTGCGGTACAGTCAGCTGGCTAAGAACAAAATGCTGTAGACAAAACTAAATTCCCTTATTTTGTTTTTTTAACAGATATAGTTTTAGGGCGTCGTGTGACAAAATGATGCATGAAGTAACACTTATTAAGCAGTTAGATTATGTTAGGTAATATTATATTACAGATTTGCGCACTTGTAATGATTTAAACTATACTAATCAATAAAGCTTACCAAACGCCTCATGTCGTTTCCTCTCAAACTCTTCCATTTGTTTCTTGTCAAACATTTGCTGGTCAATGGCCTGCCTGTCGACCTGTTAGAGATAAAGTTTAGAATAAGAAATCTGATCCAATGATTTTTCATACAATACCATGTCCTACTGTGCTGCCACATGACATTCTTAGTCAAAGTTTATTACGCATATTTGTTTAATATATAATTTTCTTTGGCAACAAAATATCAAAACTATTCAGGGAAAAGAGTATTTTTCTAGGCACTGACACTTGAATAGTAGGTCAAGCAGAGTGGTTTACTTTGACGACCAATCACAGTGGCACGAGGCATGCCATTTTTACTTATCATCCAATCTCGAGTCTCAAGATCTACGCTTATCCAAATTACTCCTCCTCTTTACCTGTCCAAAATTTATAGCTATCCCTGAGTTGCCCGCCTTTGTTGTTGTGCATCACCCATCGTGTTGTGGTCACATCAATTAAAATTCAGTCTGTCTAGCACATTTGGGAGTAGAGATAAGTGCCGCAATGGGCAGGGAAGAGTTCACAGTTTAATGTAATTCCGCCTGGAGTGAACTTGTCCAAGCCCTCCCCACCCAGTGTGTGATGTCAGTTTAGGTGGAGAGGTCAGTTAAGTGAGAGCAATGTATGGGGAAAACAAACGCATTGGCGAGATCTCATCTCTGTGTGATCCCGTCTGGGGCAAACAATGTACCGCTTCATCAAGATTTACAACAGACATATCGATCACATTCACGAGAGTGGCTGATCTGTGACGCAAGCAGTAAATTATCAAATATTTTCACTTCTTGGTTGATCAGCAGCACCAACCAGGTGTTTTTGTTCCATAAATTATGATCTTAAATGTGGGATCTTAACCGGATGTAGACCTTCAGAGTGGGAGCTTACGTGACTTTTGTGTAGGAAAAATTATGTTTTCTTAAAACAGAGGAATCTTAAGCAAACTCGGATCGTATGTGGTGGGATCTTAGGTGAAGACTGCTGCATATGTCAAGAGTTAAGCTTTAAAGAACATATTTTAGGGTCAATTGCCTTCTACAATTTTGAGATGATGGTGTGTCGATATTGTAATTTTTCTTACTGTAACTGAATTTCAGCACACTCATCTAAAATAACAGCCCTCTCCCTGATCTCATATAAATCAGTTAGAAGAGTGGGAAAACTCCAGTTGGTACGGTTCCTTGCACATACTAAAATTGTCCTTAATCTCTGCTCCTTGTAAGCAAGGTTTACAGAATTAGTCTTAACTCTTTGACTGTTCTTAAATGTTTTGAACCTAAAGTCTAAACATTATAGATCTACAACTGCCATGGCATAACATATACTAAAGTTGACAGACACATTTCTTTAGAAATGGTACTTAAGTCACTGTAAATGAGGCAACAAAAGTACTAAGGGTGCTTATTTTTCAAAATATGAAGAAAATTTATTCGTTCAAAACTGGATCACGCTCGGTAACTAAGGCACAAAAAGTACTCACTCCAATTTGCCTGGTTTTAGCATTAAAAATCCGAGTCTTTCTTTCATCTTCCATGGCTCGTCGGCGCTCGATGGCCGCAGCCTCCTTATAGTCAACGGGAAGATCTAATTTATACATGTTGGAATCTTTGAAGTTCAATCAAAAGTGAAAAATCAAAATGTTCATCCGATGCTGCCACAGCAGCAACACATCCACTCCCAGAGCCTTCAGATACTGTTGTCAAGTTTATGTCGTTGTTATGCAAAGGTGACACGGAGATACTGATAGGCAATTGGATGATAATAAATCTAATTTTTATGTTCCTATACTAATGAGATTAAAACAAATAGTCTTTCATGAAATGAGCTTATTATTCATTTCATGGCAATTGAACTAAAGAATCCGTTAATGTAAATAAAAATATATTCATTTTCCTCTTAATTAATATGGTCCGGGTGTGCGTTCGACGAATAGTGGTAACATTCCCAAAATAAAGTGGAAATAGTAAACTTCCGTTTTGTCTTTCTATAAGTAGACTAATTGAACAACTAGCAGTAATGCAGAAAGTTTTTAATCTTGCGAATAAAATTTAATCGACAAAACACCAAAACAACAAGATTGGCGGGTGCAGGCTGTAAACATTGAGAAAATATTATTTCTTATGGCTTAATTTGTTTTCAATCGAACCTATTTTGTATTTATACAGTTTTCAGCTCTGTCTTTTGAAGATTTGGTACATTGTTTGTGTAAGCAAAGATGCCGGGTCAACTCAAATACATTGAAGTTGAGAACTTCAAGTCGTACAAGGGAAAGCAGAAAATCGGTCCGTTCAAGAAATTCACAGCAATTATTGGACCTAATGGATCTGGTAAGATAATGTCCAGGTTTTAATTTAAACACCAGTGTAAAAGTATTGCTAAAGATCTAGATCTAGTAATGGGTTGCTCACATCAACTCAAAGTCTGAAGGAGAGGGTCTTGTTGCATTCTGATCCCGAAGAAGAAGCTGACGCAGTGTCACAATGCGAGCCAGCCTCCAGGACCAGGACCAGGCTGTGTGGCTGTGATAAAATTATAATTTTTACTTTCACTCTCGCACGCAGTTGATGGTTTATTTTACTTATGTTATGGACCTGTCTCAAATTTAGATATTCTAAATTCAGTGACTACGTTCACGGTGCCGTGATTGTAGTTTGCAGGTTGCATTCACTTCCCGACTTCACATTCACAGTACAGAGTACAGCGCCCTGCCAGAATGTAATGTAGATTCTAGATCTAGAATCTAGTTTGTTTGTAGTTTGCAATTTAACCCTAGAAGCGCTCTGCATTTCACTGGAAGTAACCCGCGTAAAATCTAAAAGGCCACTGCTATTCACACCCGGGGTGAGAATAGCGCAGGCGAGTCTTTTGGCTATTCTCACCTGGTGTGCATTCATTATAGCCTAGATCTAGATTTCTAGGCCAACCAATTTTGCGTTCACCCTGAACCACAGAATTCTACACTGTGATAATAGGCCGTTGTTATTCGGACTCG